GTAAAACCTCTGATTGGGAGGTGTTGAGGAGCAATTCTTAATTGCTGTTGTACCCAGGTCCACCCTGACCCGGAGTGGTTGCGTTTGTTAGGATCCTGGCTCTGAGCAAAAACACCCAAACAAAAACAACATATTATGAAAGTCTGAAAACACATTTTTGAGGTAAAAATACCAGCAATATATTTTTTATATAAAAGAATTATCAATAATACCTATGTATAGCATATATTTAGTTGAAACTATAAAGCTGTGTGCAAAATATTTAGATTTCGGCATTAAATAACCCACAGGGGTTAATATGACGTTAAACAAAATCAGCCAAATAATATGAAAGAACTATTTCGTTTCATTAATCCATATAATTTCCTATAAATTTTTTAAAGAAATCACAAGACTCTAAAATATAACTTCAATAAAACTACAACATAAAACACATATATCACTACCGATAGTAACTATGTCCACACAAACATGTATATGCACAAAAGGTAACTATTCTAGAGGAGCGTGCGGTGAAGATGCAAATAACACACGTGGGTTAAAATTTCATGCGAGCCGGTCCAGCTACATAAGACTTTAATTAAGTCCAAAGAAGACAAAGAAAATAAACAGGACCGATAATTGTATACAAACAAATATATTTATTAACAACAAGTTACAATCACATGGACAGTTACATTGAGTTTGTGTGGTGAATATTATGTGTGTGTATTGTTGTGAGTGTTCGTACGTACGTGTATTGGTATTTTTCTTAGCGTATTCCCAGAATTTGGGAAACGCTGTATTGGTGAGAAATCACATATTGGTATTATCTGAAATGAAGAAAGAGAAAGAAGTACCTCACCTCCACGCGGGGTGGTATACGGCCCAAGGCCTCAGTGGAAAGAGAGAGATCGAGGCAAAAGTTCACCCACTATTTATAGCAAGGGGAGAGAGACCCCTGGTGAAGGATTAAGGAACTAACTTCAACACTATCATCTATCATGTATTCAACTATGAAAGCAGAATAAAATATATCATATTTATTCCTTCAAAACTCCCACGAAAATTAAATTTCGGCATTAAATGACCCATAACGAGTTGATGGGCCCTTAAACAAACAAATAAAATCATATCCACAAAACAAAGTTTTACCTGATCTTGCCAACAAACTTAATAACGTCGAAACTACAAAATATGTTGCCCTTGAATCTGTGTCTAACAACACTTTACACTTACTAAATATCCTGCTACATGGAACGCATAAGGATCTTCCGGTGGAGGTTCACAGAAAATTTACCTATAATAGACATTATCCGTATTTATTCCAACCACTGTAACTGGATAATTTCTAAAATAATTATAGGATACTATTTCAGAACACGCAATACATAACCGAAAAAGCAACATACATGGAAAACACTTAACAAAAAAAAAAAAAAAAATTCGAATATTTTCATTATATCATCCGCGACGCTAAAAAAAGGCATACACAATATAAAAGAGAATAGACGATAGTGGTAATGTGAACAGCAATTTGTGTGGCATCCATCGGTTTGAGAAACCGTGGATATGCGTCCAAACAGTTATGCTTCAGCTGCTGATAGCGGTGCCAGATCTGTTATGGTCGTACAGGACCCACCAAGTATTAAGCCTCGATTGCAATGAATGATGATACATGTAATGGGTCGATTTTATTGTATGATGATACATGTGACGGCATGATTGAAATGAATGTTGATACATATTAGCGCTCGATTGCAATGAATGTTGATACCTGTTCAGCGCTCGATTGCAATGAATGCTGATACATGTAATGGGTCGATTTTATTAAAGCATGATTGCAATGAATGTTGATACATGTTAGCACTCGATTAAAAAAAAATATAAAAAAATTATATATATATATATATATATATATATAAGGTCTATGTAAAGTGTAAAGAATATATATATATATATATATATATATATATATATATATATATATTCATACATGTTTCATTAAGTAATATAGACAAGTGTTGTCTATATTATTTAATGAAACATGTATGAATGCTGCCTAAAAAAACACACACAATATATATATATATATATATATATATATATATATATATATATATATATATATATATATAAATGTTTGTACTGATCTGCGCAATGTAAACAAACTGGCGCCATATTTGTTATCAGCACGGTGATTTGAGCGTGCCAAATTATTAGAAAGTTTTAGTAAAATTCCCAGAATTGAGCAAACAAAACGTTTATTGATGTTACACGTGAATGTTTATGATCAAAAGAAGCTAATAAATAAGATAATCAAACAAATAATAACAGATACAAACAAAGGCACAGTTTTAAACAAATTAATAGGAAATGTGCTTTCCCTGTTTTGAAATTACTTGAAGAAGTCGACGATCCATAGAATTTGTTAATTTTAGGATGTCATCTGCTGTAATGCCGCGAGACATGTCAAGAATTGCTTCCCACAACTCAGCGTTGCTCCTGAATTGTCGTCCATTGGCGTACAGTCTTCGCTTCATGATGCTCCAAAGGTTTTCGATTGGGTTCAAATCCGAACAATTTGCCAGCCACTTCATTTTTTGAGGTCCATCGAAGCCTAACTGTTTTAAATATTCAGTAGTCTTGTGAGCAGCATGTGAGGGAGCATTATCTTGCATAAAAACAATGGCCCTTCTGAAGGCAACTCTTTGCCTTTTCATCCACGGCTCAAAATTCTCCTTCATAAACGCTATGTATGCATCAGCAGTCATTTTGACGCCATCATTTTTGACGCCATCTGGTACTCTCCATGGGCTCACTAATGTTTTTCCAATGATACCACCCCAGATCATTATGCCTCCACCGCCTTGTTGGCGTGTCAAACGCTGATGGCGATTCTCTCCGTTCATTGCCCATCCTTTGCACCATCTATCTGGCCCATAATGTGTTGCTCAAGTTTCGCCTTTAGAGAAGTCAATCTTCATATTGTACTCGGCTCATTTCAATCTATCTTGAATGTGATTTTTCGTCAACGGAGGCTTCGATACAGGTTTGACTGTTGTTGCTATTTCCCTCAGATACCGACACCGAGTATTTTTAGACACAGTAGGATCCCCAGTGCGACTGAAAAGCTCTTGACTGGTAAGTCCAGGGTTCTTCGTGGCCTCTCGTTTAAGTTGTGACATGAGACGACGTGAAATAACCCTTGGCTTGCCTTTATCTGCCATTTTGCGTACTTGTGTAGGGTCGGCGGTGAACTCTTTCACTGTTTGATGACACCTCCCTATCATTTTAGAAATTTCTAGGGTAGATTTACCTTTTGAGAGTTCTGAGGTGATAATTTTCTTTTCAGCATCACTTAAACTGCTTTTATGGCCCATCATTTCACTAAATTCTTAGACTTTTATAATAATTTGGCACGCTCAAATCACCGGGCTGATAACAAATATGGCGCCAGTTTGTTTAACAATTCGCAGATCAGTACAAACATTTCAGTGATTGCGTAGATCAGTGTTGCCAACATTGGGTGAAAATTTTGTGTGAATTGATTGGTGTGTTTTTGAAATATTATCAAAAAAGTTATCTCGATAATAATTTGGCACGCAGTGTATATATATATATATATATATATATATATATATATATATATGTGTGTGTGTGTGTGTGTATGTGTGTGTGTGTGTATGTATGTATGTATATAGTATGCGCCTTCGTCTGTTTGAACACCTGATAAACATTAGCTGTACTGTTCGTCAATAAGTGGCAATGCTTATGAGGTAAAAGCTCATTAATGAATTTTTTTCGAGAAATGATTATAATAAACTTCAACAAACACGAATAACTGCGGATAATTCTCTTTGAAAAAAAAATGAATGCCCATAGATGTCTACCCCGTTTATCAGCATAAAATATCCCTTTTTCTGAACATTACGATGACTTCAAATAAAGCCGAATTTCAATGAAAAACAAAATTTGATGCTTTTCTCTGTGAACTTAATTACAATATTTTCTTTAATATAAAAGAGCTTAATTAACTTTCAAGTTATTATCGAGACTTCTAAGAGCACAATTTTTTCTTCTATTTTAAACGCACACACACAGACATAGACATATATATATATATATATATATATATATATATATATATATATATATATATATATATATACGCGCGTTCATGTTTAGGAATTTGATCAATAATTTCGTAGTTTGACATAGTTATTTTCGCTGACTTTTAATTTACAGTTTACACTGAAAAATACTTGATGCATATGATCTATGGAGAAGCACTTAGTGGATACACATACTGAATAAATGCTGTGTAAAATAATAGGTTTAAGGCCTTTTTGTTGCACACACGCACTCAAACACAAACACACACACACACACACACACATATATATATATATATATATACTAAATGATCAACACAAGGATTCTGTTGTATGGACGTAAACAGAAGAAGTGTAGATTATGAGGATAGTTACGTATATAACAGTTGATCCCAGACTTGAAGAGGCTACTATTTTAGTGATCAAGTAAGCACCATATTGGGAGTCTGCTCCAGAAAGAAAAGATTCTCGGATAGACGCTGAGTGGAACTTTCTCCTTATCAATGGAATAATAAAAGATCTGGGGAGTATTCGACTCTGTCAGTCTTCTCAACTTATCCGAAACTGGTATATTACGAGACTATTGAGATAAAAAAACATATAGCCGCTTGCATACAAGAGACTAAAAAAAGGTTGTGAGCACTGTCATACGCGAGATAATAGCTCTCCGCAGTAGCTTACATTGATGTGGTTAAGAAGCCCAAATCTGGCGGTGGGAGGGGCTCTTACACAACTGTAAATATATGAAAGCACCTTGAAAATGAATAATAAGTAGTGGTGACGATGAAGAAAATAATGATTTGTGATTGAAAACACGCTCGACAAAAATTTGCTTTGAATCCCTTGCTGGTTCTCTAGACTCTGGAGACATTGATTTTGGTTAATCACTCATACAATTAACATAAGTTGATGTTATATCTATCTATCTATCTATCTATCTATCTATCTATGTCATTTTATTATCTATCTATTTCATATATACAGGGTGCCATGTGTAAAATGTCGGCATTTTATATTTTTAATTACGCGCATGCGCGTTGTTTGTTTTTGATTTTCTCAACCGAACAGTATAGTAATGTCTGTTAGGCACCGTCTGTGAAGCTTCAATACGAACATTTCATAGTGTTTGGGTGTCAGTCCGAGAAAAGTGCAGCTGCTTCGAAAAGAGTTGGATGAGTCTAAAGGTAATTGTGCAGGTACGGCAGCTAGGAAAACTCACTCTGATTGTTCTGATATCTCTAAAATGCCGACATCAACAAAATTACGCATTAAATAATTCGCATAAAAAAATCAAATTTCATAGTTTAATAAAGGGCTAAAAAGCTTAACCCAATCATTACAGGGAAAAAACCCTTTATGAAGTCGTCAAAAAAACAAATTGTAGTTCAGTACATTTCAAAATTGGTTATTCCTAGATTTTCGCTTGAGAATTAAACGGGGATTGTTACTTTAATTCAATTTAATTTTAATAATTATATTCATAGTTACGGCTCTCGTTTTTGAAACATGAGAACTCTTATGTAGCGAAGGAATCATATTTTAAAAAAATAATTATAATCGAAGCTCTACTTCTGTATGGAGCACTGTTTTTTTAAAATAAAAAAACAAAAATAGTAAAGAACCCTGGATTATTTACCTAACGTGTTCTTTCTATTTTTTCTACATATCTGCACACACACACACACACACACACACACACACACACACACACACACACACACACACATATATATATATATATATATATATATATATATATATATATATATATATATATATATATATATATATATGTATGTGTGTATATATATATATATATATATATATATACACACACATATATATATATATATATATATATATATATATATATATATATATATATATATATATACAAGTGTAAAAACAACGAAGAATAAAATTCCAACGTTCAAAACATCAATTTAAAACAGGGCTCAATACAAGAGTAGGACAATATATATTTATTATACACTGTTACATTTTTATACACCGTTACAAGCGAAAAATGAAGTGACGTTTCATAAATTGAAATTATAATTAAAACTACCTGATGAATGTTGTTTATTAAACATTGAAACAAAATGTCAATTTTTGTAGTAGTAACTTATATGTTCTAATATAAGAGAATATATATATATATATATATATATATATATATATATATGAAGTGTAATTAGGTAGCAAGGTCTATTTTAAATAAGTTTTGTCAAAAAATGCCGGCAACTTCCGATTAATTTGTTTATGTCAGAATTAAAAACTGGTAAATATTATAAGGTTACCTGCCCCGTCTGTTTAAATACTACTACTACTACTACTACTGATAATAATAATAATAATAATAATAATAATAATAATAATAATAATAATAATAAGAAGAAGAAGAAGAAGAAGAAGAAGAAGAAGAAGAAGAAGAAGAAGAAGTAGAAGAACGAAAGAAGCAGATATGGATCAACAGAAAGGCATCATTGGCTGAGGAGTACCGGATCTAAATCTGAGATAGAAGGCCCAATTACTGCAGTTCAGGACCAAAATCCTTGCAACCAGATCTTATCACTGTTGCATAATCAAGATTGGAACTCACCCGAATTGAGGGATCTGTGGAAAATATGATGAAACTGCTGACTATATTATCTCAGGATGTATGAAACTAGCAAAAAATGAATATACCCAGAGGTATAACAACGTAGCGACATATGTGCACTGGAAGGTATGCAAAAATCGAAACCACTGAGACTCCGAACTATGCACAGCTAACCAAAATAATGATCTAACTATCCTCTGGGACATGTCAATTCAAACTGCCAGGGGAATAAATGCCAACAGACTTGATATTATCATAAAATACATGAATTCCATGAAGTGTATGCTTATTAACATAGCAGTACCATCTGAGAAAAACACCTCCATAAAAATTATCGAGAAATTGTCCAAATACAACACTTGGAGATCGATATTAACAGGATATGGGGAATGAAAACTGAGACTGTACCAATAGTAATCGGAACTCTGGGCCTCGCGAGAAAAGGAACATACATTTTTACTAAGAGTGTCACAGGTAACATCAACGTACAATTTTCCCAGAAGATCGCTCGACTTGGAACATCCCATATACTAAGAAAAGCGCTATCAATTAAATGACAATTCTCCTGTAGGACGTAAGGATCATAGTTTGGACCTGAATCTACAGAATAAAAAGCAGGAATCATAATAAGCAATAATAATAATAATAATAATAATAAGCAGTTACTGAATATAAAACTCTGTATGACAGAGTGAGAAGTGGAAAATATGCAACTTTTATTGGAAAGAAACTGGTTTGAAAATAATCCAAACCCGGTTACAGAGATAGGACCTGTAACAATTTGATGGGAGAACAACGCTGACAGAATAATCAAAGCTAATCGCCTACACATCGTGATCAAGGAATGGAATGTTTTTTTGTTCTTTTTATTGACGTGACAGTTCCTATAGATTGTAATGTATCTTTGTAGATAAAAAAAAACGAACAAAATACAATGATTTTGAAGTGGAAATCTAAAAAAAATATATCGCATATAAAGGCATAAAAATTCCAGTTGTAGTCGGATAATTCGGATTGATTGGAAAAGGTTGCAAGATATATATTTAAGAGCAGCGCATACCTTTAATAAAAAGAAATATTATACTCGCAAGTACAATAAGTTTTATCTATGTAAAATGTGTGTGATTTTAGTATTTTTTTCTATTTCAAAAACATGATCAGTCGAAGATGCCATGAAGCCATTTATGATCATAGGTGCCTGCTTGGACATGTGTATACAACGGAAAACCATGTAAATAATAATAATAATAATTTCTAAGCATAACATGTATCATCCAAAGGCTGGTGTCGACCGTCTAAACATACTCCGTACAGAAGGTGGAAGAGGTCTTATTCATCTAGAATTACCATACAAGACAACAACTATTTATATTATTTGGACTATTGTCCTCATCTTTGTTGTCATATTTATTATTTCGTTTCGGCCGTTGTACGCTCCGGCCTTCTTCGGGTAGTTGGAATGTCGGAATGAACACTTTATTTCGCTCACTGGGTTAGACTGTTCTAGTTCCACGTGCCATGTCTAATGGATGTCAGTTATCAGTCATCTCCTGTTCATTCCCCTCTTCAAGTTCATCACTGCCTTAACCGGGTATTGAACTCACACTCCTGTCACTAGATCTAACCAACGCCTTTATCCACTGTGCCATAGACAGATACTGAAGACAACAACTATTACTAACATACCGGGAAACAACAAAGAACTGGATAATACAAATAACAAGAAAGAAAATGATTCATTTATAAAAGAATGTTGTAAATACAAACGAGGTTTACATTTAGTAGATTCTGTAGAAAACCAAAACAGAACCCAAAAACCAACTGTTACCGCGAAAATTAGGAAAAAGAAAGCCAAGGATAACGCTCTTGAGGATATGAAACAACGCTGGCAAGACAAAACTCTGCATGTCCAACATCCAGTATATGATAATAAAACTGATCTTGATAAAGCTAACGCTGATCGATGATTACAGGTCTCTTGATTAACAGCTGAAATGGAAGTCTTTATTCTTTCAGCGCAAACCAAGAGTCTTTTCATTACAAACTCTCAGGCAATTATCATACATAATAGTGTGGATCCAAAATGCAGATTCTGTGACAAATATCCTGAAACCATACACCATCTACTCTCATGATATTCTTTTCATTCTCTAAATGAATATATAAAAAAAAACGTCACGATAGATTGGGCAATACTTGACAATGTGAAAACACTTTGGAAAATATGTTAATAAACAATGGTAAAAAAAATCATGACACACCACCGGTTACAGAAATAGAAGACATCAAAATTCTATGGGTTTACGCCATATTTACCGACAGGGAAGTTGAAGCAAAGAGGCCGAACATAATTGGAAAAAACCGAAAAAAAAAAAAACTTCTCTACTAGTTCATATGGCTTGCCCAGCGAACTGTATATAACAGTCAAGTAATTTGAAAAACTATTGATATATAAAGGCCTGGGAACCGAAATAGAAAATTGTGGAAATTGAAAACAAATATAGTACCACTCATAGGTGTGCTTCAAATGATAAAAAAAGGAACACAATAACACATTTAAAAAAAAAATCTCTGGTGACCCCAGCTTGAGAGTAATTAAAAAATGTCTTGATAAGTACAGCCAATACTTTGTCTATGTAATGTTAATGACGTTATGAAAGTTAGAAAAAACAAATCATGAAATGTAGCCATAGCAACATGCCATTACCTGCCTTAAGTCTTCCTGTCAAAGCAGAAATCGAAATATAATGAAGTTGATAATAATAATAAAAAAATTGTAAAAAATAGCTTCATCTTAAAATGTTCATAAGAACATCCCAATCAGGAGTGTGCCATGTAACATTATAATATGTTATCACTACAATTTGTTATATACTTAAACTATCTTCACAAATACATGTCGTACACTTTATTTGCCGTATCTCGCATATAAATTAGGTTTTTCTTAATAATTACTTACTTTTGATTAGCTTATTTCAATTGAGGACATTTCGAATTATTGCAACTATCCTTCTGAGCTGTAGTTTAATAAAAAATAAAACATTATTTTCAAAGTACTATATATATATATATATATATATATATATATATTAAATGCAAATATATATATATTAGGTGCAAAAATAATGTGTTTTTTGACGTTCAACTTAACGTCAAAAACGACATTAAACACCAATTATATATATATATATATATATATATATATATATATATATATATATATATATATATATATATATATATATATATATATATATATATATATATATATATATATAAAAACACTATTAGGTCCTGTCACTGGATCTAACTAATTTGAGGGCACATGGCACAGTGGATAAAGGCGTTAGTTAGATCCTGTGAGAGGACTGAGTTCAATACCC